GTCCCTCTTTCCTTCCTATTTAAGTTACCATGAATGAGCATCTCAAGGATAAGTTGCCTCATAGTATGACATTCAGTTTTTGAAAAAAAAAAAAGAATGTTTAGCTATTTAACAACTGGACTGTTGCTGGCTTATCTAAGTCCATCCAGATAAAACTAGTTTGCTGTACTGACAACTGTGCCCAAGTACATATTAACAGTCCATTGATTTCAGTGAAATCTTAGTGTATAACTCGACACAACAGGTGTAAAGGACTAACGGAAAGAGTAACCAATAGGCTTTAGGTTCAACTATTCCATATTTAAAAGATGTGAGAAATAGGATTCAGATGTTCTGGGATTTTCTGTCATAGAAGATGTTATCTTTGAAATGTTGAAATATTTATCTTGTCATCAATCTTTTTTAGTTCAGTGGTTGCAGAACAAAATCAAAGGAGAGAGTTATTTTTTATCAGTGTTTAATAATGGCATCCCATGTTGGCTCTTTTGGTGGTACTGCAGAAATTAGAGTGGTTCATCTCCTTCCATGTTATGGTGTATAGTTGGCTTCTTGCTACAAACAGAAATGTTGATGTAATTTCAGGAGGATATTGATCCTAGCATCTCATTTTAGCATCTATGCCCAAGTTTTCTAACAATATAGGCTTGTTCTTAGTCAGTTTTTTTAGAGGATGTTAGATGAGCAGACAAAAGAACTCAAAAAGCTCACTGTTCTTAACTTTTAATTTTGTTTTCTTTTAAATTTTCCTTCATTTACACATATGGTAAAACACATGTTTGCTAATACCTGGGAGAAGCATGTGCCAGTACAGTTCTTGGAATTTTTTTCTGTAACATTATAGATATAAGGTGGTCCCAATCTCAAGACATGCAGGGACTAGTAGAATGTGTATTTTTAAGCAGGGAGAGGTTCACATTACTCCTGAAAATGGAAATTTAGAAGATTGTAGTTCTTAAGAAGTTATTTCTTTCTTTCAAATTTATTGCAGCAGTAGCAATTCTCTTAAATCTGTAAAATTATGTACATGTACATCCCTGTTGTGGGTGCCCTGGTGCTAATGTTCGGGGAAAAAAAAAATAAAAAAAATAAAAACGTGCTTTACCGGAAGAAGCAGCTGTTACTTTGACCTGGTTCTGCAGCATCTGTATACATTGGACACTTCACTAGGGTTTTTTGGTGCTTTTAGCTGAAGCTAATTCAATCAGCTATTGGATAAAAGTGCCAAAAAGCCCCACTAAAGCGCCTGATGTATACAGATGTCAGGCGGACCAGGTCCAACTAAGGTGCTGCCTGTTTTGGGCATGCGCTGGGCTCAGCATAGGAACACACTGAGTTTAAAGTGCCACTTTTTTTTTTTTTTAAATGTCTGCAAGCAGCCATTATGTTCAGCTTTTCTCCTGTTTGGAAAACAGATTTCTCTTACTCCACATATTTTATAGCATTGCTCCTTTTCCTTCCTCTATTCAAAACTTGTATCATTGGTCAGGTATCCTGGATACCCTTACCCTTTCACCATAGAACCTAATCTAAAATGCTCAATGCTTTTTAATAACACAGGAAAAAGAAAAGGAATTAGAAAGAGAACGGGAAAGAGACAAGAAAGACAAGGAAAAATCTGAATCCAGATCCAAAGATAAGAAGGAGAAAGAAGAATGTACACCAACAAGAAAAGAAAGGTGCAATTTTTATTTTGTTCCAATGCAAATGAAAACTTGCTTAGTAGTTTTGTAGACAATTGAAGACTTATAAAGGTTCTTCTCCCCTCCCCCCCATCCTCAAATTAAAACATGGCCTCTTTGAAAGTGATGTATACTTATCTATATTAGGAGTAAATGAACTGAAAGTTATCGGTTGGAAAACTGGACTTAGGTCATTATTTTAAAGTAAATTGTATTGGTCTTAATGTTCTTGCCTCACAATGAAAATCTCCCTCTAAATCAATTGAAATTATGCAGTCTTTTGTACACTCTGTATGCTGGCCCCCCTCAAACACACATTTAACTTGTCTTAATACAGCTTAATGAAGTATAGTACACTGCTTGGCTAGGAGCAGATATTAAAAAAGCCTGAGCCTGAATTGATTCAAACTTTGTAGGTTTGTCTAACGTGGCTAGGCTGAATCAGTTTGTAACTGTGCAGACATCCCAGAAATGCAGGCACATGCCTGGAGTGGCTCAGACTAGAAGCTGGGGGGGTGGGGGTGCTAAAGCAGCCCTCCCTTCCCTTTGACAGTGCTGAGCTGAAGGGGGGCTTGGCCAGGCCCTGGCAGGATGCTCTGATTAGGGAGGGGTCGCCCCCAGGCCAGCAGGGAATTGATAACACAGTGTTTATCACCCCTAACTTAGTGTTTGTCACCCCATTAAGAAAACAACAGAGGGGCATTACCAGCTACCTGTTGATTCCTGTCTTTGTCCCAGACTGCAGCCAGCATATAGTCTGCTAGCTAATGCTGAGAGGTACCCGTGTAAGGCAGAGAAGACAGAGGAAATCTGTGCTTAGCAGGGGGAAGCCAGGCAGATGCCTGCAGTCTCTGCCGAGCTCTAGCCAGGGAGCAGAGGGGAGGGGCCAGCTCTGCTGTGGAGCAGAGACACCTGCCCAGCCCAGAGAGCATGCTGGGATGCTCAGGGAGTCTGGTTTAATTTAAACCAGCAAGGTGTCTGGGACAGACATTGTATAAACTGGTTTGACCCAAATCAGTTGAGTCTGATACTGCATTCAGCTAGGTTTATCTCAAACTGGTTTTAGCCATTTTCAAACTGGTTTATGTGCACTGAACTTATGTTCTGTTACATGTTTAAACCAGTTTCTGATTACTTAAGCTGGTTTGTTTGTAATGTCTGTACCTAGCCGTTGTAACTGGGCTTGATCTTTCAAGAATTTGTAGCGATCAGCCATGAACTAGGCTCATTCATAGGTCTTGGTGTGTTGAACCAAAGGAAGTCTAATCACTTACCTAATTTTTTTCACAGCTTGAAAGTAATTCATTAATGCACTTTAAAGGAATGAATGAAATTGTATACTACATTGAGGAAGGGGGGGGCCTTTTTAAAAAAATAGAATACTTTCTGTCCAGACAAATTATGTAATCTCTCTTGATTCCTTGGCAAAGGAAAAGACGACACAGCGCATCACCCAGTCCATCTCGCAGCAGTGGCAGTAGACGAGCAAAATCTCCATCACCAAAATCAGAGCGCTCAGAGCGATCTGAAAGGTCCCACAAAGAGAGCTCACGTTCCAGGTCATCACACAAAGACTCTCCTAGAGACGTCAGTAAAAAAGCCAAAAGGTAAGTTGGCAGCTCTTCTGTAAATCTGCTGTGTGTGTGTGTGTGTGTGTGTGTGTGTGTGTGTGTGTGTATTTTGTTATTAGTGCATGGTAAAGCACGTTGGGTGAAAGGGTGGCAACAGTACCAGCAGGCTGTCTGACTACAGGTTTCCTTCACTTGCCTAGTGTTTGCCTACACAAGAATTACCTATAATACTAGGTTATGTAGCTGGTTTTACTAACATTGTATTATATTCAGAATGGATGGCTGTATTTTGCTTTATTTTACCTTTATTTCTTGGATCTTGTATTGCCTACCTGTCAGCAAGATTTTTCTCATTCTTGCTGATCTCATACATGTGTTTACTAGCACTTGTGACTAAAAATGCCATTAAAGTCATTTTAGGTTAAGATTTTCATGGATGTGAGCTTAGATGCAGAAAACCTTTGCTGGTTTATGGTAGCTTAATACATAGTGAAAATGTTGCAGGCACCCACATGCCTTGCCTACCTGATGCTTCTCCCTCTGATGAAGAATTTATTTTTTCAAAATTACTTACAGTACCTAAGTATGCTCGATGTTTTTAATAACACAAGTAGATGGCTTAATGTAAGTAGATAGCTTAATGATGTCATGCTGGACTGATGCAAATTCTAGTCTCTAGCCTGTGTCATGCATGCAGTTAGTCTTTTCTGGTATAAAAAATTTTGATCTGCATTTTTGATCAGGGTTGTCTCATTTGTTTTGCTTTGTTTGCTCTTAGTATTGGGTCCGAATGTTTAGCTTATTATATCATGCAGTCTGTAGCGCACAGGTTGGGGAATTTCCATAAGTGAGCTGGTAGAAAAAAACTTGTGATACATTCTATATGTGCTGTTTTTTTCAAGCAAAATCAGCTATCAGCTTCCTGTGTTAAAAGCAGAATGGTATTTTGGGCTGCTGATATTTTTCTGCAGTGCTCAGACAGTGGTGATGTAGCCTGATGAAACGTGAGATCAGATTAGATGAGATCTGTCATGTGCATTGTGAGAGATGGCTCGTGCTGAATTTTTATTGTTCATTCTTTTCAAGTCTCCTAGGTCAAGGCACAAGTTGAATATGTTTGGTCAGGATAATAGAGCCTTTTCAAGCATGATACATTTTACAGCATCACTCTTTTGTTTGGTACAATATTGAATTAGGTTGGCTTTGAATGGTAAGGTTGGAGGTGCATTTGCAGACACATATAGGGAAGTCTGTAGATTTATCTGCCTGATTTAGGTATGATACTAGTTGAGGATGATGTTCTTGTGCTATTGGAATACTAAAATTGTGATCCAGTGCACATTTAAAATTTCATAAATACATATCTAGTGCCTATTACCAAGATACAGTAGTCAATGTCTGTTGTCCCTGTTTAAAATATTTCTGTATTACTTACAGTCTTGAGAAAATAAGATGATGGGGGGGGTTAAATAACTTCACAAAAAAATCAAGTTGGCTCTCAGCTTGATTAAAAAACTTTGTTTTCCAGGTCCCCATCTGGCTCAAGGACACCCAAAAGATCAAGAAGGTCACGATCCAGGTCCCCTAAAAAGTCAGGGAAAAAATCCAGGTCGCAGTCTCGTTCTCCACACAGATCTCACAAGAAGTCGAAGAAAAGCAAACACTGACACTGTTAATATTTTTTAATGATGCTGTCACTTAACAGAAATGCGGTTTTGTTTTTGTGCCTGAACAGTCTGTTTAAAAAACAAACAAAAAAATCAAACAAAAAAGCATTCCTGATTTTTTTTTTTTTTTTTTTTTTTTTGTGAATGCACGTGTATACTCATAAGTAACTGCATCTGGAGACCTGTCATTGTTTTATATTGTACAAAATATCTTCATTGTGGCTATTTCCCCAAATGAAACATTTTTGTGTTTAGAAATTTCATCAGAAATGTGTGTAACTGATCTGCTGGCAGTAGTGATATTTTGTTTTAGAATGTTGTGACATAGAAATAATTCAAATGTTCCCCCTTTTTGTAGCTTTGACAATTTGAACTAGATTTCAAATAAAATCTGAACAGAAAATTAAGATGTGGTTTTCTTGCTCAGATGGTGAATCTTTCAAAGTGTTCATAGTTTGTTTGGAAGTACTGTGTATTTCAGACATACTGTGTTGGAAAACTTTCTTCAATATATTATACATCAACAGCTGTGGTCTCATTTTTTGTTAGTTTGTATACCAAGATGAGAGCACCTTGGGATCCATCTGATAACCTTATTTCTGATTGTGATACTTTAACATTGCAGGTTATGGTCCATGTGGACATTAATTAAAAAAAATATTGTGGTCTAACAGTATTCTCCATTTTTAAGTATAGGGAATATCTCAGAAACTAGAATGAATTTAGATATACCCCTAAAGGGGTTGTATGCACAGTGATACATTAATAAGCCATATTAATGACATGTCTATGGGAATGTTGAAAGGAAAGCAAGGCTCAAGACTTGAATGACTTTTTTCTCACTAAATATAGTTACAATGATTGCAACATAGTACATCCTGTATTGGTTTTTCAAAAGTAGATTTTTATTCCAAAAGGAGAGCTTTTACATTATGTGTTTTTATTAAATGTATTCCTTGGGAAATTGTTCAAAATGGAACACACATTACGGTTTAATATATGTTTGATTATTATTTTGGAACCAAAAGGCTGCTAACTTTCTTCATTTTAGGCTGCCTCCTGCTCTACCTGTTTTAGGTATTGATGTATATTCCTTCATCTTGCTCTCCATCACTTAACTCTCTCATTTGGGGACTGTAGGATGTCCAGAGCATTCAGTGCTTATCTTTGGAGACATGGGCAATTTGTAATAAAAAATTAAAATAAAAAGGGTCCTGGACTCCTGTGAAATGTTTCTAAAAGCTGCAGCTGTGCTTTATTATAGCCATGGAGTGCTGGATGTACTGATAGGCTGGTGTATCTGCAGCTTTTAAAGTCTTGAGTTTTACAGGTAGGACAGTGAAAAATGTGTATATTTGTATGTGCATAGCTTAAGATGCTAAAGGTGGTTACAAAAACAGGATAAAAATATTCTTTAATAAAGTCTGCATATTTGCTTTTCTAATCTTCTTTACCTTTTCCCATTGGTGCCTTTGATCTAATAATACCTACATTTATAGATGGGATGGTTCCTAAATGAAGCATTACTGAATGTTGTGCCTGATAACCTAGGAACTGACAGAGACATTCTGGATTTTTTTAGAAATACAAAGATGTAGTACATGATGTGTATTGTAAACTCTAACAGAGTATTGAATAGTTGCATCATATATGAGAAATGAATAATTTGTTTGAGTTCTATATGAAAATGCTATATAAACTTATTTTAGCAATGTTTTAGTCTCAGCCCTATTGGTTAAGATGCAGTATTTGTTCTTAACGTTTTCTTATCCTTTGGCTTATAGAGTATAGGTGTAATATTATGAATTCAGCTGCAAATAATAGCATTGGCTTTGCTATTATTTGATTAAAAATGTATCTGAAAGAGCTCTTTAAATATTGTTAATGTAAGGTCTGATCACAAAATATTAGTAGGGCAAAAATTAGCACAAGTGCGGCACATGAGCGTGGGCATGGGGGAAGTCCTTGCTTCACATCAAAAAAACCCCCTCAGCTCTGGTCAAATAAACATCTGTTTATAAGCATCTGCAACAGTGATGAAATAGCATGTGATTTATAGGTGATTTAGTTCTAGGTACAAGATAAATTTAGTTTATCACATAAATATACTTGTATCTGTGGCCTAGAATGTGTTTCATGTCATAGCTTCAAGTGCTTAAGAGGGAAGTCATTACATTAAAAACAGTGTTAATAGCTGCTCTGTTCATAGGTCTGTAACTCGGAACATCCATAATCGCCGAGGGTAACTTTATTATAATTTCAACCTCCCAACTCTTAGAATAGACATTACCATGACTTACATTTTGTATTGGTTTCATTTTATGTTAGTTTTATCAACACCTATAATCCATAAACACTGTGTATTATCATTCTCTTACCTCTTGTTCTCTTTGCTCATTTCCTTGACTTTAGAAAAGCTGTTGTGTTAATAATAGACTGTCACTAGTTATTAAGAATCTGCAAATTTGACACGAGTTTCTGTTGAACAGAACATATTTTGATTCTCTTTATCCTATTCTCTCTCTAATTAATTTTGTTTGTGGCTTGGGCTCTGCAAAGTGGTAATAGGAATACAGCTTCTAGACACAAGATCCTTTACAAAAATTAAGTAATATTGGAAAGGGAAAATTCAACCGCCCTTGAAAGTTGAAAATTTCTCTGTAGCGTCAAAATGACTAGTTCTGATTGTAACAACTAATTCCTGATTGTGTAAAGGAGAAATCGGTGTTCAGAGCTTGTGTTGTTGAGCACATGAAGTTAAAGCCTGATGATCCCTCTGTAATTGCACCATAGAATCACAGGAAAGTGGGACTGGAAGACACCTCTCGAGGTCATCAAGTTCAGCCCCCTGCTCAAGGCAAGATCCCAGCCAAGTGGCTGTCTAACCTGCTCTTCAGAGCTTCCAGGGATAAAAATTTACACAGTTTATCTAGGCAGCTTGTTCCAGTGTTTGATCACCTTGATAGAAAGTTCCTTCTACTCTCCAACCTAAATTTCCCCTGTTGAAGCTTGAGGCCATTACTCCTAGTCCTCTTTCAGTCATTTTCTACTAAAATGGAGAAAAATCCCTGAAGCCAAGAATGTATGGGAAGCCCAGCCAATGAGAAATGCTTTCTCTTCTGCCTCAGGGCCTGCAAAAGAGCCTGCATGTGCAGCTAGTTACAAATGACAGGGGTGGGGATGCTCCTTGGATTTTTTTGGGGTGATAACACAATTGTTCCCTAACTTAGAATAGGAGTAGTGAGCATGTATAATTGGAGGAACTGGCAGTGTTGGTGATTTGGGAGTGCAGAGGTTGATCTTCCTTGAACAAGCTTTGATAAAAGGATTCAAAACCAATTTTCTAACTGATACTCTGATTCTGTGGGAATTAAATATAGTACAGTATAACCTCACAAATGCGGCATGCTCGGGACTGAGCACTTGCCGGAAATTTGAAAATGCTGGATTTTTGAAACTGCAGTGGCTGGTTGCAGAGCAGGGGGGAAAGGTGGGTAGTGGTGGCCAGTCCTGGAGCAATGGCGCAGTGTGGTGAATGGCGGCAGTAGCCGCTACATGCAAGCTTCCCCCTTTACATCTGGGAGGGTGGCAGGGAACGGGCTGGTCCCGGAGTGGTGAGGGAAGTGCTGGATTTTTGATAATTCCAGATTTTTGGTAACGGATTTATGAGGTTATACTGTATTGTATTCACTCGACTCCAAGGGGCGGGGGGGCAGGGAAGCTGCTTGTCTTGTACTTGAATATAAGGTGATGACTATTCTCAACCAGGATGGGGTAAGAGCTGCAGCTTCTGTCTGCTCCCCCTGCTGTCTCCTCTCCTCTCCTCTCCTGTCCTCTCCCCCTGCCCCCCTTACCCTCGTTGATGGAATCTGGCTTGGACTGCCATTACCACTGCTGCTACTGGGGCTGGAGCAAACGTGGTCCAGGCTGGAGTGGGGCCAGTGCCTGCCACAGTTGGAGGGAGGGTAAGTGGTAGGGGGAGACATTGGGGGGAGGAACTAGGCAAAGGCAGTGGTGGGGAGGCAACAGAGTGGGGTGAGACGGCGGGGGGGGCAGATTGCAGGCTACAAGGACAGCACATGGTGGGGGGGGCAAAGTGGAGCAAAGGGGTAGGGCAGGGGTCACACTACTTGACACCCCCCCCCCCCCCCCTCGCTTTTTTTTTCATTTGCTTTCTTGCTACTGCTTTCCGTGCTGCCCGGGAAGTAGGAGGGATTAATTTAAAATGACCAGTAATATAATTCTATTCATAGAAAATTATAACATTTTTACATTTTCCATGTACAGAATCTAATTATTGGTGAGTTGTCTTAATTTGGAGTCATTTGGAGTTGTCTTAATTTGCATTTAAGTAAATACAGCATACCCTGTCATTTTCTGTGGCCTCAGATTTTTCCTTTCAGGAGGAAAGATGAAGTTGTCATTACCATTGTGGCTAAATAACATCCATGGAGCCTTTGCATTGCTGGTGCTCGCTTTGGTGATATCTTAAAGACTAAAAATTAAACTCAAACTGTATACTATGATTATATTCTTGAATCTGTTATGCACATGTGTATTAGTGAAGCATTTGCCCAGTAGCATATCCTAAACTCAGCTTTATATGATAAGCATTGTTTAACAAAGGCCTCTGGGTCAATTGAACAGTCAATTGAATTCTTAACTGAAAATTTAGTTCTTGTTGCTTGTGAACTAGTCCTGACTTCTGTGAATATATGAATTCACAGAATTCATATATTCTGTGAATTCTGGAAAATATTAGTAAGATTAATACAGGCCTGTAGTATGTGGGCCACATCATAATGGAGAAAGCTGCTGCTTTTCTTACTGCATAGAAAATCCTAGTAAAAACTAGTGTTTAGTTAAGTGGAAAAGCAAGGGGTTTGCCATTGTAGCTGACTCTTAAAGGGATAATGTAGAGGAGGCAAGGATATTGCCCTGCAGGAGACTAGGAAATGCTCTTTGGACTATGGCTTGAGTCTCCTTGGTTTTTATACGAAGTAAGTTTCAGACTGTACCTTAGTTGTAAACTGTTCACCATTCATAATGGATACAACACATATATAATGGGTTGTATATGTTCAAGACTCATGGTAGTTGAGTGTAACAACAAAAGGCTAAAACATGTTAACAAATGATAGTTTGTCGCACTTCCTGCTCAAGCTTTTTGACAATCATTTGTCACTTTGAGATTAATAACTACTTTAAAAACTGCTGTGTGACCATCTTAATAATGATCTGATCTAATCTCCACCCCCCTCCCCTCCCAGCAACTAACTCTCAACATTTATTGATGAATATAGTCACAAATCACCTTTTTTTTTTCTTTTTTAATTAATCAAGCAGATCTGATTGGGTACAGGAGGTAGTGGAGGGGATTCTCCAGGTTTCTTGTTTTGTTTTGGGCATTTTTTTCTGGAGTTCTACTGCATTTATGCTATTTCAGTTATGTGCTTTTTATTTAAGTTTCTGCCAGCCTATCTTGCATTGACCTAGTTTCCTTTTCTACGGACAAATTCCCTTAGGGTTACATTGATATTGTCTTGTCCTGATTATTGTTTTAAAATAACAAAAACATGATGTAGTAGCTAGTGCTCATCCCCAATAGCTTTCTTTTAGGGAAATAAATACTGCAATGTTTTGGCTATTGAGGAAGCATGGAGTACAACCTGGATTTAAGACATCCAGCGTTTTCAATACATTTTCCCTTTTTTAAAATCTGAAGCTTAATGAAGGAAAAAACCCATATTTTGCCACTTGGAATTTATTTTTTTTTAATGAACAGGTTAACAAATGCTAGGTTGATTGAATCTGACAAGGCTGACAAATTTTCAGTAGTTTTCAATCGCTTTCAAAGTAGTTTTATTTGATTTTTTTAAAGTCAGTTTTTAATTACATTTAAAGTTATATCTAACAAAATGTATTTTGGCATGTAGTTGACATGCCTGCTGTTTGAAACAGCAAAGTTGCTGGGCACCACATTTGAAAATTCATAGTAAGGAAAGTCCAGCTCTGTCTCTTCCAGGCTGCTATTTCAAATGGTCAGAAAGCATTTTAGATCGGTCTCTTTTAATGTAGAAAGAAAATATTTATAGATGAATACATGAAGGACATTTTACTTTTGTATCCATTGTAGTCCATTATTCAGGACTATTTAGAAAGCCCAAATTAATAAAAAATGCAGCTTTTTACAAGAAATGTGCAAGACAATGCAAAAACAATAAACAGAGGCCAAAATGTGCAAGTAATCCTTTCTGGGCAACTGTAAATGATTTTGGAAACCTGTTTCTTTATGCCACTCATTCATAGCCTTTGTGGGGAAATTAAATCTTGTACCTGGGGAAGAATGGGACTATTTTAAATTAGTAATTTTATTTTGTAAATGCATTTGGGTCCAAATGCTGCATTTAGGATGACTGTCATGGCTGTGTGTTGTCAGATTGAGTCTGTTGTGTTTGCCTTTACTTTACTATGACTGCTGCAGCCCTACACTGAATGTAGTATAAATAGATCATACCTCCTGTGCTCATGTTCTGTTTGAAATAAAAAAAAAAATGATCTCGGTATGTTTCCAAGTACATGAATGTATACTAAATATTAAGCAGCTTTCCTAGTTTGCTTATATTTTTTCTTCTACAATGTCTCTGTTCTGACTATGATAGTCCAGTAAACTCTTTGTTTCAGGGTAGTGGTTATGGAATTAGCTGAGGTGAGAATTCTTGATTTTTATTTTTTTTTTAAGGTTGGTATTTAATGTTTTTATTATGTCTTCCTAAATTAAGTGAACTTTCTTTTCAGAAGCGGTTGGACTTATTATAATGACATGAAATATTAGGCTAATTTCCAGAGTTCCTTTCCCAACAAAGCTGTTGACTTATTTCCAATACTTCAGACCTTTTAAATATTAAAACTGCTCAGAAGAAGTATATGAAAATTCTTAGTTCTAATGATGAGGTGAGTTATTCCAAGAGCTATTATTTACAGTTAGTTAATGCTTTTAAATGAATGTTGAATGAACCATTGTGGAAAAGACTTACCAGAAGAGATGGGGAGGCAGCGGGACGCCGTGCTGGAAGCCAGTTTTGGCAAAAGTGAAATCGTGGCAGCCAGAAATGTTGCGGGAAATGATCAAAAGAAAAAAAAGCGGCTGAGCCGAGAGGAGCTGGGAACGGCTCCCGCATCCACATGGGCATGCTTTATAAGAGTGGCCAGGGCTGATTGGTCAGCCAGACGCCTAGAGCCGGGATAAAAGACCCGTCGGAAGACAAGCCCGGGGGACCAGAAATAGAGTCCCCAACTGGCCAGGAAGGGCCAGAGTTCTTGAGCGGCCCCAGCGAGGGGACCTGGTAGGTGCCCCAGAAAGGGGTCACAACAGCAGTGTAGGGCCAAGGAGGATCCCAAGGATCTACTTACAGGGTTGGTGTGGACCGAGGAAGGTGGCAGTGATGAGTGGAGTATGACAGGACCCAGCAGTGCCAGGATCCAGACGCAGGTGACGGACGTCAGGTACCAAACCCGGGGAAGAGTTACACTGGGGGGATGGAACAGTGCTGAAGCCGGATGCCGTGTAGGCAGAGGGAAGTGGGGCCATAGGAGACACTTGGCATAGAAGCATCACCATTATCCCGTGGCCAAAGATCCCGAGAGACCAAGTGCCAAGATGGTTCAGAATATCAACCTCGGCGACACAGGTGACGACATCATGGTTGGTGTTAGGTGGGGTGTAGGGCAGGTGGCGCCCTACAAAGGAAGAACAGTGGGAACGACCAAGGGAAGGTGCTAGGGGAGGCAGGCCAAACATTGTCTTCCCCATCCAAATATAAACATCATCAAAGATGTGGCAGGCGAGGCCTCTGGGGGACTGACCCAAAGTCACCCCAATAGCCAGGCTGTTCAGCCCAAGGAGCCACAGTGAGGTTCGAGAAGAACCCACACCCGTGACGCTCGGGGGGGAAAGACATGGGAGATTACAACCATTTTCATTTAAGTGTCGTATCTGAAATGCTAATGAATTTCACCTACATGCATTATTCTTCTACGGGACTCCAGAAAACTTCTTATCTTAAAAACTTCCCAAAAACCCTAACACACACAATGATTTTTTCTCATCTGTTTCTATAAGCCTATGACTTCCATCTCTTCCTTGCTAAAGGCTAAGCTTGTGCAAGGGTGCTTTTCTGTTTAACGCTGATTGATGTAAGCTGGAAAGTTTTGTGCTTGTGGTTACTTGAAAAGGAAATGACAGTTTCACATTAACAGGTTTTTTCCCTTATTTGCTTTATGATTTTTGTATTTGGTGTAGAACATTTTCCAAATGACACTGAGAAAATGATCAGTTCAGTTTTATTTTTAAAATCTATATTTATATTCTGTTAATTGCAAGTTTCTGTCCTTGATAACTTTTCTCTTTGTTGACCCTTATTCTTCCTATTCAGAAATTTTGCCAAACTGTTAGGGTCTTTATAATAGCTTTTGTTCTTCTCCCACTGGCAGCATTGACCTTCCTTGTTTTTTCAAAGATTTGTCAAGGAGGCCTGGGTTGGTTTCACATGTATATTCCTGGTCTTGGTCAACAAATATTTCCTACATCTAATTGCTGCTAAAATAAAAAGATGGGAGATTAGGTGGTTTTTAAATATGTACAGCAGTTGTGGAGAATCTTTAATTTTAGTTTTTCTGTGGAGGAGGCATACTGCATAAATCTATTACCCAATACAGGGCTGTCCAATTTCTAAGCAGCCTGGAGCCAACCACCAATGGAGGCCGCATACCCATGGGCCACACCAGAGCAAGCTGGAGCCACAGGTGGTGCAGGCACCCCTTTCCTCCCCAAACTGCTGCCCTGTGTCAGTTGCTGCTATACCACATGCCTGTCTGGGCCCTTCTGGGGAGGGTGTAGTTAGCAAAAGCCAGAGGAGGGAAGGGAACCCCAGAGACTGCAATTGCTGTTGGGGGTAGGACGAGCAGCAGCTGGGCAGGAGCCCAGGTGGCCACCTGCAACTTAAACCGTCATGGGCTGCATGTAGTTTGTTGTCCACCATTTGGAAAGCCCTGACCTAATGCCTATTCTTAGTTTTACTATACAAGACGTTGTCTCACCAAGGCCTGCCTGGTCTTACACAAGGGCTGGAGTTATGACAAAATCAGAGCCATATACAGTCTTTAGTGCTCAGAAAACTTTCAGTGATTACATGGGTGAGAGGTGGGGAGAGGCAAGGGAAGCGCAGTTTTCTCTGGACCAGGGGTGGGCAAAATATGACCTGTGAGTCAGATCTGGCCCCCACAAGGGATTTTGTCTGGCCTGCAGCAGGTCCCTTGGCCCCACCTGGCCCAGGAGCAGGGGCTGGTCCAGGCCATGGTGTGTGCAGCTGGTCATGCTGCCCCTAGCAGCCCTAGCTCTGCTTCCTGGAAGCCCTGGCGGTGACTCCTGGCTCCTGCTGATAGCATCTCTGCTACTACTGGGCCTAACCCTGCTGCCTGGGTACCCCGTCCCTGTTGCCCTGCACCCACCACTGGGGGTGCCGGATGGAGTGGGTGGGCAGGTGAGTGGGGTCTCCATGGAGACGGCAGGGTGTGCTTGGCTGGGCAGATAGGATAGGGTCACAGGCGGGCTGGTAATGGGATGGGCGGGCAGGGCCGGGATCACTCGGCCACTTAAGGAGTTTTGGTGAGCTGTTGGGTGGGGGACGAGAGGATGTGCTGACCCAGCTTGCAGCATTTCACCAAAGCTCCCTAATGGCCCTCCAGCCCAAATAATTACTGAGTGCTGCTGGTGTACAAACAATTCTAGACTGGGTATGATTGAAAGGTGCTGGATTCCATTTTCTTGCTTATGTTAGACACAAGCAGAACAGTAAGATTGACAGAAATTTGACTTGCAGGAATGCAAAATCTGTTGAGATGTATGTATTAGTATTTGTTAGTAATCTTTCTTTCTGTTTGTCTGTTGGATGCTACTGTTGGGTGAACAGACCTGGGTCTAGGAAGTTGTTTGATAATACCATAGAAAAAAGAGAGCTTTCCTCTCTTGCTTTGTTCTGAAGGACTTGCAGTCCCACAGATTTGTTAGACAAGACTAGTTAATTTCAAAATTTATTCTTCATATGTATTTCTTTATAGCAGATTAGAGGTTAGTTGCATCAGTGATACATGAATAAACTGGATAGGAATTCAATTTTAAAGCTATGTTGTTAAAAGTATAAATGGTATCCAATGAATATCTTAATTCCCTTTCAGAATATGTAGTACATCATCATAACATGTGCAAGGAGTTGCAATTTCAGTAAAACACAGAAATAGTAACTTTACAATAGTGTCCCCAGGACATATATAAAACTCAAGCATTTCTTCAGCTGCACAAGCAGGAATCTGCAAATAGCAAAACTTTTTTGAAAATGCCACTTTGTCTAAATGGAGACAGATGTAAAGTAGCAATGGAGGGAAAAACAGCTCACTACAGATCAGATGCCCAATTTGTTAAGCTCTAAGAATAGTTATCAACTCCTACTTTCGTTTTGACATATGCCACTTGCATTTGGTACTCAATTGCAGCATAGACTTACGCATGAACAGTTTTAAAGGAACATCTGAAGGAAAAATGAGTACTTCAGAAGGTAGATTGCTACATCAACAGCTTAATGGCTGCCTAAGACTTCAGCCATTAGTGGGACTATAAAAAAATCAGCAAGTAAAACATGGGATTAGATAAGCGACTGAAATGCTAAGCAATATTAAAAAGAATGCTGCAAAATATAATCATTCCATAATTTTAAAGATTGCTGCTCCATTTTTCTCTTCAGCAACAATCTGGCTAAAATATATACTTCCACTGGTTTGCAGATCTGCAAGATTTTCATTCAGTGCAGCCTTTTGGGCATTCATTCGGCAGAACACATTGAATTTGCTTTTTGGACGTTGCAGCATATTCTTATAACTTCTATCTTGGTTGAAGAATGTGACTTTCATGTGGTGTTTGTAAAACTGGCAAAGCTATGTTTACTCTTAAACAGACTTGCAGCCATAGTTAAACATTAAGGTCTAGATGTTGGCATTCATCTGAAGTTTTCCTTTGTGTTTACCACATTTTCTAGGTTTATTACACAGCATAAATATTTCAATCTTACAATTTCATCATATTAAGTTAAACTAATTTAAAAAAGAAAGAAGTTGCTGAAAACTTTACCAGTTCTAAAAAGGTTTCTAATTCTTATTGCTCTTGATTCAGTCCCCCTCCACTGAATCTTGCAGCCTGAATAACCAGGCGGGAAATGAGTTCCAGTCAAGAAGCATCCTCAAACAATGTGTCTTCCATCAGCACTCTCCCAGTTAAATGGAGAAATACTATTTTTATCATCTTGGAGAATCACAACTGACATAATTTGAGAAGAAACTCAGCAAGTTGTGACATTTGGTCTAGCCATATGCTTTAGATATTTAGCTCAAAGTCAAGATGGATGGGCCTGAATTGGCAAGGAAACAATCAGTGTCCCCCATCTCCCCCCACTAGCAAAATTTGAGATGGATAATATACCCCAGTCAGCAGCTGAAGATTAATCTCAAGATGGATACACTGATAGTCAGTAGAGTCCTAGTGTACCTACAGGGCAGCCTTATAATACAACAGTTAGTGTAAGCTTATCCTACAATTTCCTGACTACTCTTTATTTCCAAGCAGCAGCTCTGGCTGGAAATTGCCTGCCAGTTTCTAAAGGGCTGAAAAATACCCTGATTTTGGAGTCATTACTTCCAATTCCAGCAATATTCAGTATTTCTGATACAGAAATTTGCAATTTGACTGTAATGGCTGAGAAGGCATAATATCAGCATCTTTCAACTTAGTCAGAGACTGTCATCAAGGTATAGGCTGAGCATTGATTTTGATTCAAGACTAGAATGCATCATTACTTTGGTAGAAATCAAATGTCAACCTATGTACTGTATTTTTTCTCAGAAACTAGCAGCAAGGGTAATCTACCATACTGAAAAGCACTGCAGGAAGAAATTAAATGGCCTTAAGCTAGCCTATGAAAGGTGTAAGGAAAACGACGCAAAGCTGGGAGTAACCTAATTTAATATATCCTGAGTGCCAAA